CTGGGGGCAGAAGGAAGGGGCTCGGGGGGCTCGGGTCCACGGAGCCGCGGCAAACGGCGGGCGCGAGGGCAGGGGCTCGCGCGCTGGAACCTCCTAACCAACGCCGCCTGGGTGGACTAACTGTCCAACTCTCCCTCGCTAACATCTGGCTTGGAATTGCGTTCTTCTAATAAATAATAGCATAATAAATGTTCACAGCATATGGCTATGGAAATCTGATTTTTAAACAAACTGAGGAATGACGCTATACTCTGTTTCTCCCTCTTTCCTCCTCCATTCTTCACGTACCCCTGAACTGTGTTTATTTTACTATCTGTCTTTTCCCAGTCTAACACTGCCTCATCCACAGTAATTTTTCGATAATCACAGAACGTAATATAACAGCTGTATTATTCTGTCTGATTGCAGGCAGTCCTTCTCACTCCCATGCCATATATTTAGACTGCAAGTTCCTTTCTGATGACAGTGTTTTAACCAGAACTAAGGATTCACATAGCCACCGTAACACGACTATTAAACACTCCTGCTACCACTGCATGTATTTTTGTAGGTAATGCACTTAATCTAATTTCTATTTTCTTTTACATATTTTATTTTAAATTTAAAAAGAAGTTTGACTTATGTCTGCTTGAAACCTCTTCAGTACTAAGTTTATTACAGCTACTGTGAAAAGAGCCTGATTCCTGTGGTAGCATTAACAGATTACGCTCCTTATAGTGCTGTTGCCAGAAGGGACAAAGATTTTTCCAAAACCTATTTGCTATTTTTAGTGGGTCAGATACTGTTCTGGGGGATATCTGAAGCGTAACCCTAGTTCACTGGGGAGATGAAACAATCACTTTGAATTATCTTGAGCTTTTAATGTTTATTATTCATTAGAAACAAACCACACAATTTCTATGCAGTCTGAACTTCAGCTTAGATACTGCTTCCCCTTTTGAAGGGCCTAGAACCGGCTCAAGAAGAACCAGTCTGACAATGGTGCAAGTTGAGAGATCTCATCTCCATCTTTAAAAAGTCCCTCTAGTACAACAAATAGTAAAACCTGTAAGAAGACTCACTGCTGGTTGGCGTATGCTCCTCTTCTTCTACAGACCTCAAAATGTTTACAAGACTTGGGGGGGGGGGGGAATCCCTTTAATGCCCTCAGCCAAGCAATCTGTGCTCTCCAGCTCTCCTCTTTGGACAAAGATTTTCCTGCTAATATCAGGATGTCTGCAGGTGGAAAAAGCAGGTGAGATCTTCCTGAGGGCCAAAAACCAAGGTCGCTGAAATAATCTTTCATGAACTCTATGCAGCAAGGAGAGGAGCAACAACAGAAAGAAATCCCTTCGCCAACAGTTGACTAACAAAATCACCAACCTCAACAGTGACTT